GCAGGTTGTAGGGATTAATGAGTGGGGCTACATAAGCTACTGTTGCCGAATTGGCAAGCAACCGATCACCGCACTCTTCTAAGGATATTATTTTTTAGTTACAGCAAAGGTCCTTTCACAGACTATGATAATGCATGGAATTTATTTGCAGAATTTACAACGAAAGCTGTTGAGCAGCCACAGTTTATTTCTACTAAAACAACACATTTTTGTTTGTTTGTTATTGCGTAATACTTATGGATAGCAAGTGAAGACTACTGGATAGTCCATATTGAGATTAAAAACTTCAAAATATAGGCAAAATAAGAGCTCAGACTGCAAACTTGTGCCATGGGACTTTTTTTGGGTTGCCAGTAGAAACCAATCAGGTATGAACACCCCAAGGTGATTAATGGTCACTTTATTTAAGTTTGGGTTATTTTAATGAGCTTTTTCCTGTCTTCCCATGCAGCTGCAAAGCCGGAAGTTTTGGTTTGATGCCCAATGATCCGCTTGGATGCAAAAAATGCTATTGTAGTGGACACTCCTCAGACTGCAGCCTTGGCTTGACAGTCGATGGGAACCTAGTGCCAAGTAAGCTTCCACATTTTATTTCATTGCATTCCCTACACTGACACCCCACGGGGTAATAGAAAGTATATTCGAACGGCAAACTGCTGTATTTGACTCATATATATCCGTTGAAATAAAGCTAGCATCTGTTGCCTGATTTAAGTGCTCCCATCATCGAAGGGTTCAACTGAAAATGTATGCCACTGCATTTCAACTTAGTAAGGTTTTCTTAAAGGCTTGAGCTAAAGTTTTGCCGGAAGGACGCTTGATAATTGGTATTGCAAAACATTTATTTACAGAATGCCTTATTGGAAAGGATCTTTTCAGACGCGATTTGAAAGTGGTACAGCTACTTACCGATATCCAGAATATTGACTGAGAGGACTGCATTTAGTCCAGATCAGCTTGTCAGAGGATCAGAACTAAAGTTAGGAAAAACGCTCAGTCTGGAAAAAATCTGAGAGGAGTTCATTACGCCCGGAGATATGGCTTGCAGTAGGCAGCCCTTGTGATGCCTGTTGCCAATGTACTTCTTGTAATTCATGTAATCATAATCGGAGCCTTTTGAGCTCGACTCAAACGCGCAACGCGTTTCGTTTCAGTTTAGTTTACCCAGGATAGGCAAAGGGCTTTGAGTTCGCTATCGGTAACGCAATGGTTGGAAATGCATGGATATATCATGTGAATTCAAATAGGGGTCGTCTACATAATCGCAGGCGAAAAATGAGTATCTTTTCGTCAATCGAGAAGAGTAGAGTTACACGGCTGCTCATTTATTACGAGTAGTATAAGTGTGTGGATAATTATTACTTGTGAACTAGTACCTCAGCTTATTGACGATGCCAAATGACAGGAGCCAGTAGGTCAGACAAAAGTAAAAAGAAAATACAGTGGGAAAACCACTTAGACAGTTCTCGGAAGCTGCAGAAGCTTGAATGCGATTTAAGGCATGTTAGGACAGTAGCTCCGTACACTTCCTATCATTAAGTAAGACACTTTTTTAAATAAATGAGCGAGTAAATTACCAAAAATGTACGAATAGTTCAGTATAATCCACACATATCTTCGAATCGCATTAGTAAAGAATACCTTCCTTAAGGTCCGTTGTTTGGTAATTTCTCATCAAAATTTGGAATGGCCAATGACTATGGGGCTTCAGTCATGACCAGCTAATGAGCCTAAGCGAGACACACATACATGTTGCGCGTCAGGTGCCTCCCTGAAAATTTTGCATTGAAGAAATTGTAGCCAAAAATTCTGTTAGGCCAGTTAATGGACTTTGCAGTCATTCTGGCGTACAAATAAAATTCCTTGCGGTATGATGGAGTATCTTTCGGGAAGCAAGGCATACAAGTGACGTTTGTAGGGGCCATAATGTGTACCCGAAGCCAAAGACTTTACTTTTCGTGATCAGCAACTATACAAACAGATTGTATTGATGTCCAGATCTATGTAATTCGTAAAATTTGTGATAAAACATCAATAGCCCCACTATTAAATAGGCCGGTTAACATAATGGAGCTTTCGAAATTTTCTCAGCCAAACAGCAAATACTGTGGATGTTAATACGCAGAAAGAATTCGTACGAACTATGATTTACATGATATTTTGCTTGGACAACCCCTGATAATACACACGGTGCTAGGGGCGTCTATCCAACGAGTCGCAGGTTGGACTATTGTGTGGTGCACTAGTTGGGGTTGCGTATGGCTGGCTAGTGACGGCCAATAAACCAAAAATGACCATTCAAGTCTCCCTGGTCTTTGTCAGTAATGCAATTCAGCAAATAAATATATAAATAGAGAAAACATATATTATAAAATTACTCATTCCAAAGTCCTCTCGTGATTCACTTGAGTCAATACTGTTTAAGAACATGATATCGTACAATATGACAGAGCAGGTATATATGAAAATAAAGATCTTCGAAAAATCGAGATTACAATATTCTTAAAATTTCAATTTACACCCTCATTAATGCCAAGATCATTGGAGCATTAGCTTCGAATGCCGACACATTTCCTCCATTTCCGCATACCTGATTTCGTTTTCTGCAATAATCTAGGTGAAGAAACGGCCCTTCAGCCTTATGTAGACAAGGAGAAAGTAATCTTCACGTGTCCTGCCAACACCTCTCAATGCGATGTCTGCCTCAAAGATGGTGAGTTGCGAAGTGTTCACGCATTTATTTAAAAAGAATATGGTAAAAAATTATATGGCAGATGATTCTATAAATGTAAATCAACTTATTGACCAAAGTAACACCGGTACTTCCACAGAAAATCTCGTTGTTAGGATTATGCGCTTTTGTATAGACCAGCTCCGTTTTTTGTCAAAATTGATCTGCTCTTGTATGCCTACTTAAGTTCACACCTAACTAATTACGATAATGTTTACAGACAGAGAAATTTTGGATGTGCCTTGTCGTCAAAATGAAAAGGGACAGCTGGAATGTCTATGTCGAGCAGACATCAATGAATGCCCATTCTGTGTCAGTCAGGGTACGTTCATTGGCTCATTATTGTTTGAACGTTCGTTTAACCATGTCAGCTCAATTGTCTTTAATGTTTACTGGCGGAATTTTGCCTTTCAAACTTACGTAAGGGTATGCGCGGCAAGTGACTTTTATACAATTTTCCGTTTTTTATATATTGTTGTTTCAGGTCTGTGTAAATTGTGCGGACGTGTTTGGTCAAATTCTGGCCTCGATTTTCGGATTTAAACAGGACTATGCTCCTAGATCGATCTTACGTAATTAAACTAGGTTAGACCAATTGGGAGTTTCAGGAAACAGTTCAGAAGGAGAAGATGCGATCAGTGACACGAGAGAGTTATTGGTCCGATAGTTTGGATTTATGATCGAATCCATTATCTGCGACGGCCTCTGAAGATGGGCTCGAGTGAAAGTCTGAAACGTTAGGTCAATAAATCTCCTTTTGAAGCACACATCTTTTCTTCTTCAGGAATGTAAATTTATTTTCACCTCTGGGTTTGAGGTCCTAGCATACTGCAACGATTCTTCGAATAGACCGGGAAATGTATGCCCACACATCAAGGACGGTTTCAATACCCGCGTGTGGAAAATATTGCCTTTAAAATACGGACCCCCAAATTAGAGTTCGAAACTAGCGCACGCAGGTTGCGTCGTCATGTGTGAATTTGGTCTAATCTTTCTCAAGAGTTACGTTTTCAACTATTGAAAACACCTCCGTTACAAATGTGTGGTACAAATGTGTGATTCTAGTACGGATTGGCTTTGACTATTTGCAGTACTTTAGGCATGGATTACGAAAGACCTTGAACGAACACAGGTTTAACAACAATTGGAACTACAACTGACAGTCACGTTGCCGTACTCGTATATAGACCTCTCGTTTTGCCTATGCGTTCCTAACTAGAGCCCCACGGTAACTTAAAAGCTATAATTTAACGGGTAAGCCGTAAAAGACAAAGGCGTTCGATCCGTTTCTCACCATCCGTCACTCACAAGACAGCTTCTGTCCTAGAAGAATTGGTTTTTCAAATCTTTTGGGTTGGTAGTTATCGCAAGCAGCTTATTACAAGTATGTTCGCTAAATTAATGCACATGGGATCAAATGAGAAACGACGAAGAGAAGTGGGATCAAAAACAGTCATTTTTGGCCTTTAAAATGTTTAACAGCCATCCATACAACACCTCAGGTTTGCATGATTTGGGACTCAAACGCAAGTTCTTTTGCCCTAGAGCGGAACAAAGGCTTCATCTGTTCCACCAGACCGTTGGCCCCCTTTATGCTGTTGATTGTGATCGGGATTAGTAAATACGGTAGAAGGTTATTAATCGATAAGTTTACGGAAACTACTTGCTTTGTTGTGAGTTGGTGCTGACTATAGAGCCCTCTAAGAAGTCGAATAGTGATCATAAAAAGAGAAGTACCGACAAGGAAATGAACATGAAAGTCTTTTCTGACTTTTCTAAAAGCCTCCCTAGTATTTAAAGAAGTCAATGCTACATCCTCTAACTTCGAATTGCTGATTACTGTACGAAGTTAGTGTAAACACTCCAAGTGCGGTTAAGCTGAATTCCTCAGTATCACGCGATTAAGTGATGTTCTTGTTGATGTCTGTGTTGCGGCAGAATTGGTTGAACGTTCACCATAATTTTCAGCAGTTTGTTTCTCAACTTCCTTTGCGCCTTTTAATTTACTCAACTTAAGCCTATCTAAGCACCATTCCTATACACATACATAATAGCAACCTTTCTCCCTCAAATCGGTTTAAGAAAGATGCAAATTAAATTATTGCTAACACCATTTAAGTACAACTTTTACCTAAGCTAATTTACAAGCACGCTATACACTTCAATTTGCAGAATTTATTACCACACATTTTTTTCATTTTTCCAATCTAGCCTTCCGAAGGCCTCAGGAAGAGATTCGCAGAGAAATCTGTCAATGTCCCTCACAGTTCCAAGGCAGCAGTTGTGAGGAGTGCGCCGTCGGCTATAGACGCGAGCCCGTAGGTGGTCCCAAGACAAGCATGTGTGTTCCATGCACCTGCAACAATCGCGCAAAAACGTGTCACCCCGAAACTGGTACGTTTTCCTAAAGGCATATGAAAACGAACTCAGGTGGCATAAGTTTGTTTTCAGCTCCACAATAAGTCACATTCACCAGTGTCACTTAATCTACTTTACCCTTACGATTAAATACAATAAGGCCCACACAGAACATGCTGAGGGGATAATTAGGGTTGATAGATGACCAAATGTAGTTGACGATTATTTGATTGAGAGTCACAGCTGTAGCAGAGAAGGAACCCGTCTGTGAACCGAAGGACAGGTTTGGAATAACTCTTGGATGAGATGCAATTGGCATGTCCACTGTATGAGGGATTGGTGTTTGTGATATGGGTCGCGCGAGTCGTCTGTTGTGGCAGGCTGTTCAATGGATAATTCATTGTATCGATTCTCAAGAGCGTGTTTTGACTAGGTTAGTTGAAGAGCATACTAAATGCTTTAGGGGAATCAGGAGCGCGTTTTTGAGATGGAAGGTAACTGACTCCACTGCCGCTGATTTGTAGTGAAACAATATCGTCGATTGAATTTCCTGCATCCTATACATATACCTAGAGGGTTATTTGATGCTTACTGCGATGTTGAACTGACCCAGGTCAACAACTTTTGTCGAATGCATTTGGGCGAGTTGGAGTCGAGCGCAGGTGAGCCATCGACATAGCAGAAGAACGAACTTCCATCGTAAATTATTACGAAGCTTATATCAGGTTGCCTAGGTTGGAATAATTTAAACACTTAAGTAGATGATAAGTCTCCAGAAGACCTACCTATATCAAGTTCTCTGTATGGCAAATAAAAGAGAAATGTAAACCTCTGAAACTCTATGCTCCTGTTCAGAAATTTTGAAATCCTGCAGAAATCCAGCGTCAGAGCTAAATCAGTTTCGAAGTAGTCCGGCCGAGTAAAAGACGATATACGTATCCTAGTGGTTATAAACTAGTAGATAAGAAGATAAGACGTGGAAACCTAGAGTGTTATGAACAATTGAATTAAGCGCAGAAGGAGTAAAGTATGAGTAATGGGTAACTGACGCCCGAACAAGTGCAGTCCAGTCATGAGCGGGCCGGGTCCAGAGTCGCAGTGCGGCAGTGAGGTCGCGGGTCTGGGAGTGTCTGAGCGTATGCAGTCACCGCAATAAGATCCTTCGTGAACCGGCCTTGGAAAGTGATTGGCCAGTTAAGCTGTTGCGCACGTGCTGGTGGACACAAGAGACAGACATGTGACTTGCCCCAGAGGCACGCGAGGAAAACAACCGTGTGGCTTCATGCATGGCTTAGAATACGAGGTCATTACAGATATATGTATGTGGTACTAGCCAATCAACCGTAAGTGGTTAACTGCGCAAGACCCTGTACGCCGGCGCCAGATCACCACATCGATAGACTTCGTTCTCGTCCGAGGCTTCGGCTTCAAGCAGTTTCGTGCTTGCCTGGCTTTAGGTACTCACACTTGTCTTGTTTCCTGCAAAGTTGAACTCATGACCCACTCCGAAGGTGGGGCAGTCCCATGTGCTAATTCGACATCCCCTCCTACTGCCGGCTTATGCACTTGTATGCGCAATCCAAGCTGCCATTCTCTCCAACCTGTGTAATTTGTCGACATTGTTAGGCACGGGCTACACTACACTGCGAAGGACTGTTTCCTGGCGTGCAATCTGCCTAAAATTGCCTGACCTTGTTGCGCAGAGAAGCTTTGGGTCGACATACACTCCTAAAACTAAGTCGGTCAACTTCAAACTCCCTAGTGTCGCTCCATGGGACCAGACTTGGAACTAGTAACGAACAGCTGAGCTGTGCCTCAAACTTCAACGCGCAGTTGATTCAACCTGCGTCACCTCTAAGCCAGTGATTTCTCATTTCTAGCTATTTCAGAATGTTTTATTTGGTGACCGGCTGTTTCCATCTGGAAAATCACATCCATTTTAACAGTTTTATTACTACCAGTGAACATCACTGTCTCGGATTACGTTTCGGATTTAATCAACGACCCCGAACTTACTGAGCCAGCTCATGGCGGTTCAGAGTACTCCAGATAGACTATGGCAATATCTTCAGCCACGTTTTCAGACATGTCTGCAAAGTTCGTTAGCGAATATGGTAAAGGTTTTCTGCTCGATGAACCGAATTCAGTATAGGATGTCGCAACATCAGGAAAAAAGCCACGTTGCTAGGACCATATCCACGTCAGTGTTAATATGCCTATTGTATCGGCAAACTATGTCGAGGACAAGCACTTTAAGCACCTGTTTCAGTTCCAGGACCAACAAATTAACGCCCCGTTCTAAAGCACGCGTTCTTCCCAGCCTAACCTGCAAAAAGCCCAATGCCCCTTACGGCGTTAAGCCGTAAATTACGCGCTGCGAGTCTATCGAACAATAATGGCTATCCCCCGAGTATGACCCTGTGAAATCTTTCAATTTTTTATTGGACCTACTCGCAACCAATTCATGAAGTTATATGCTATGTAAAACGTATTTTTGAATGTGAGCAAGCGAATTTAGTAGAGAATTAGTTAATGGGCGGGAGGACTTAGTTCTC